TGAAATTGTGCTCTATATGCTTTCCACGGTGCCTTCCCATCGAATTCCTGTGGCTTCCTTCATACCAGATCACCCCTATTGTTGACATTCATATCTGGGGTGTGACTTCTAACAGAACTAAAGATGTCTGCATTAGGGTTTAGCTGCGGGGTCTGAAAGGGGCTTCCCGTTGTCTGAGACTGATTAGGTCGATGGCTAATATATCCTCCTTGTGTAAAAGACAGGAAATAATTCTTTAATGTATTTAATTCGCTTTGAAATTTACTAATGTTTTCCATTTGTGTACTCTGGCTTTCTCTCAATTGTTGGAGACTTTCTTCTTGCTTATTTTCCTTCTCCTCCAACCACTGCTGTAGTCTCTCTTCTTGTTCATTTTATTTCTACTCCAACCACTGCTGTAGTCTCTCTTCTTGTTTATTTTCTTTTTCTCGAACAACTGCTGTAATCTCTCTTGTTTATTTTGCTGTTCGAGCTGCCATTGTTGCAGGTTTTCTTGCCACTGCTGTAATCTCTCTTCTTGTTTCCTTTTCCTCCAACAACTGTTGTAATCTCTCTTCTTGTTTCTTTTTCCTCCAACAACTGTTGTAATCTATTTTCTTGTTTCTTTTCTTTTTCCTCCAACAACTGTTGTAATTTATCTTCTTGTTTCTTTTCTTTTCCCTCCAACAGCTGCTGTAATCTCTCTTCTTGTTTCTTTTGCTGTTCTGGTATTGCTGCCATCAAATCTGCTAAGCTGTAGTTTGATTTGCCACTTATCGTTTCCATTTTTTTTATCCCACTTATAATTACTTCAGTTTTGTAGTTGAATGCTCTTACTTTCAGGTAACAGTAAGTAAACTACGGAATTACTATGTTGGTTCTTCAGTTGAACAATGTTATTTCTAGATAACGTATCAAAATATTTCACAAAAACATTTTTTGTGTTATTTAAGTAAGAAACGTTTTTTTCCCCGTATTTTCGCAATGCGGGCAGTAGAGAGTTAATATTATATTTAACACCCATTTTATTTTGTTTTAAAAGAAGAATAAGACTTGTCTTCTTGTTGGTATTAATTATCGTTTGGTTTTACAGAGAAATTCAGAAAATAAAGCCTGGGTTTTCTTATTGTACTCACTTCTTTATAGGGCAAAGCTTTTTCGTTACTATCTTACTAAGTATTCACACATACATACAGGACTATCAAGATCAATCCATTATTTTAGTCTTCACGTGACAGCCTTTCATAACTTATACATAGTTTTACATGCACATTAATTAATAATCAAACACCAATTTTGTTTGTGGTATTAGGACACCTAATCCATATTCTTTTGTTACACCGACTATTATGTTAGGAACAAAACAATGAAAAGCCCAGCTCCTCTACTGAAAAACTACTCACAATGAAAACATAAACCAGTAAAAATACAAACACGAAGAGCGGATATAAGTGAGTGTTGTATAGCAGGTTGTTCACCATCTTGTTCTTCAAGGCTATTATCACCTTGAAGGATATTAAAGAAAAACAACAATGAACGGGTCAAGACAGCAACCTTCACGAACAAGGTTTAACCGTATATACAAGACAAAACGTGGTCCCCATGGCAATAGAGTGTGATATTTAAACAAGTTATGTAACAACCGGGTCACAAAAACTAGCAGATTGCTATCACAGTCGGTTAACATTTTAACGGCAAAAATCACGGTGTGTAAAAAGCCTCCTTAGTTTAGAAAAAAAAAATATAATTCACACAAATATTCTGTATTTGAACCAAATAATATTAATATGCCTCGTACTCGGATGTAATCTTCTATCAAAGAGTTCGTATTTTATTAATATTACACTATTTGGTGAAAACTGATAAAGTTTGTTTGTTTGAATTTATGCACAAAGCTACACAATGGGCTATCTGTGCTCTGCCCACCACGGGTATCGAAACCCGGTTTCTAGCGTTGTAGGTCCGCAGACATATCGCTGTGTTACTGGTGGGGGGGGGGGGGTAACTGATAAAGATTGTGTTGTTGGTTTGTGTTTTTTTTTCAAAAAATACGAATGACCCACTTATAATATTTCTACAAAACGATGAATTTTCACAAGGTTATGTGATGTCCGCAGGATGTTGATTTTCAGAAAATGAGAAGAAGAAAAAGACGACAATAGTTATCAGTTATTTGTGATATCAGAACAACAGAAACACACAAATTAGGATTAAATTAATTAATTCACTACTAAATACGTAAATAA